CCCCCCCCCCCCCCCCCCCGTAGGCGATGCCGAGGGTTTCCGCCATAAGCTGACGATCCTTGCCGCTCCGTTGTTCCCTCTAGAGCAAGTAAAATGCTGCCCTTGCTGACCGAGGACCGTGGTTGTCAGCTTATGGTGAAACACTGCATCTGCCTCGTGGGCGATCCCGCGTGTTCCGCCTTAAGCTGACCTTTCCTGGGGTGATGCGCGGGGCCGCGACCATCGGGCATAGTCGTTTGTTACACGCTCTGGAGGCAAGAATTCAGCGATAAGAATCGTCAGGTTGTGGCACAAAGACCTCGGTAGAGACAAGATCAATGTGTTCTCCGCGCCCCCTCCCCGTAGGCGATGGCGAGGCTTTCCGCCATAAACTGACGATCCTCATGGCTCCACTGTTGCCTCGAGAGTATGTCAAACGCTGCTCTTAACCCTAAGACCGACGATCGCGGCCGCACGCAAGAGACGCATGTATGGACTCGTGGCATCCCCCACAACCTAAGCCCGGGGGGTGCGCCAATGAAAACGACGTGTTCGTCATCCACGTTTCGTCGACACCAGCGCGGGGGAGTTAATTAGTGTTCTGCCGCACAACCAAGCCACACATTATCCTATCCCGACACCACAGGTACTACCTGTCGAAGTCATGGGCCGGAAACCTGAGGCGTTACGTGGAGGCGCAAGCCAGGCGCCGCCGCAGCCCCTCCTTCGCGTCGAACTCCGCCGCCGGCTCCGGCGCCACCGTCGGCGGGTCGGGGGGCAAGGAGAAGCGGAGCCGCGGGCGCGAGCGTGCCGAGAGCAACCTCATGCCTCCCTGGCAAGACGTGAACGCGGACATCATGTGCCAGCACGGGGGCCTTGCCCGCTCGTCCCAGGGGAATCGGGCTAAGGTGTGTAGGGAGGGAAGGCGACGATGAGTTGCCGCGTAACTCTTTGGGTCTGCATTTTTGTGGGGGGGGGGCATGCACATGGCGGTGCTGAGGAGACACACTGAATGCCTGCTTGGTGATGTGAGAGCCTGGTCCGGTGAGAACCCGGCGTGCTCCGTCCCAGTTTT